CTCACTAGAGAACTGCAGGCCAGCATCTATTCTAACTATTCCTCACTGCTGCCTGGTACCTTCCCCCACACAGAAAATGCTTAAATGTCCAGTGATCATCTGGCTTCCTTAAAGGTAGCTCAGCCTACTTCGAGGCATTCTCCCTATAATTGTCTCTTAGTCATTTGTGGGAACTGCAGCCCCGGGGAGATCCAGAGAGACGAAAAGCAATCAGATGAGAATAGTAGTACTACTACAGGTTCATAGTACATTCCCATGGCAGAGTAGAATCTACAGCAGATGAATAAAGCCTATGGGAATGGTTTATGGGTGAATAATTCCTGAACTACAAATCCCTAATTTTTATCATTCTTGTTTATTTTTATCATTATTTAGTGGGATAAGTTTGCCAAAATCCACTGATTCCATGCCCTCCATAAGCATTAATAATACTCATTTTATCAATGAAAATGATCACAAAAATAGATTTTTCCCCTCTGTATAGTTGCATTTGGTTGGGGGAACTTCAAAGCAGAAAGGTCATTAAATACAAAAGACTTATATCCTGGCTTATGCTCTTAACTTCAGTACTACATTATCTCTTATCTGTTACTTGTTACTACAGTTAAATAGTATGTAAAATTAATAGAAAACATTGAAGGGCTAAATAAATTTAATATATTTATTGTTACTGCCCCAAAAGCTAAAAAGAAAATTTAGCCCCAGTGATAACTTTCTGTTGATTCTGTTTTTTTGTTTTAACCCAGGGGCACTCTACCACTGAGCTACATTCCCAGCCCTTTTTATTTAATTTTGAGGGTTGCTGAGGCTGGATACTCCTGCCTCAATCTCCTGAGTAGCTGGGATTAGTTGTGTGCCACTATTCTGTTAAGAGTGATTTTTTTTTTTTTTTTTTTAACTTATCAAGACTACAGGTTAATTCATGACTATCAATTTAAATTGAAAATTCTTAGAGGAGCTTTATCCAGTTTCCTATTCATGGTTCAGAAAAGGATATCTAAGACAAATAAAAGATTATGGCTATAGTTTCCAAAACTAATAAATGATTGGAAATTACTAGAATAATTTGTTGAACAATTTGAACTACAACTAATATCACTTGGTGAGTATTTTTATAATTTATGTAGGTTTATTTAGAAAACAAGCTACTCACATTATCACTGATTATTTAAATTTTGAATACTACATTTAACTATATGTGACAGTTGTACAAAATTTTCATTTTCACTTACAAGGCCACAAATTTTAAGACTGGTAAGTAGTATACCTTAGGCAGGCATAGTGGTACACACTTGTAATCCCAACTACTTGGAAGGCTGAGGCAAGAGAATCAGAAAATTCAAGGCCAGTCTGAGCAACTTAATGAGACCCTGACACCACATGTAAATAGATAAAGATCCATTGACAACTAAAAAAAAATTTTTTAATATTAGAATGGAATAAAAGGAATTGAAATATACCAAAGTTCTTATATCATACAGGAAGTGATAGAACTAATAATTCATACTTCATTTTTTTTAAAAGTTGATGCATGTTATAAGCTCTTAGGTATACACTGGGGGAAAAGGTAATGTATATTTAATATACTAAGTAGTATAGGGTGAGATATGAATAGTGAAAATAAATTTTAAAAGCAAGAAAGATGAAGCAGGACCTAGAACAGAACAAATAGAAAGCAAAAACTAAGATAATAGATTCAAACTCAAAAATTACTAGTAATTATGTTAAATGTAAATCAATTAAGACAGATTGTTGGTTAGATTTTTTTAATTAATTATTTTGTAGTGCTAAGGATTGAAGCTATGGCTTCACACATGCTAGGCAAGTACTCTACAGTGGGCTGCATCCCCAGCCCTGGTTAGATTTTTTAAAAACTTCTTACTGAAAATAAGAATGTAGAAGTTTTTTTAAAGCAAAAGGATGTCAAGGCATACTACTGCTAGATTTAACAAAATGAAAGATGATATGCTATATTAATATCAGGCCACACAAAAAATAAATCTCATGTAATTTCCAAGGACTGAAATTGACCAGAGTATATTCTTAATGGGAGTACAATTAAACTAGAAATAGAGAAGGTACACATTGTTACTCTAGGAGGTGATTCAATATTTTTCTTATAAATACTACCCCATTAACCTGTAGCCACTGTATCCCATTAAAAAAATCCCAACAGTATTTCTTAGTAGGACTTGACATGCTATATATAAAATTCATTTGGGGAAAAAAATGATTTAGCCAAGAAAAATAATGTTTATAAAACAATGAAAAGATCTTGATTTGCCATATAGCAAATATACTATAAATCTTTTAGAAAAAAAGATAGTGTGGTGTTGCACAGAACACAATATAAAACCCAAAACTTAATACGTGATAAAAATGGCATTATAAATGAGAAAAGTGTAGAATTTTATATTGGAGTAGATTCTATTAGAAAAATTACATATCACACCATGTATAAAAATGTAACTAGTTTAAAACAATAACTATTAATTTTATAGATCTTTATTTATAATGTTTAAGAATCTCTTAGAATCATTAATCCATTTACTTATGCACAAAAGGTGGGAAAGTTCCTTCCATGGCTCTTCTAACTAACAACAAAAAAGTGGCTTCTAAAAATGATATATTTTAATTTGAATATTTTTACTCATGTTGATTAACTAGCATAAAAACCTGTCTTAGTCTATTTTCTGTTGCAAAAACTGAATGCAACAGCTGAATAATTTCTAAAGAATAGAATTGTGGGGGGTTGAGGATGTAGTTCAGTCTTGGTCAATATCCAGCACCAAAAGAAAGAGAATTCTTAAGCTGATGATTCTAGAAGACTGAGAAGTCCAAGAGCATGGTGCTTGTATCTAATAAGAACCTTTTGCTTATATCATAACATGGCAGAGGGCATCAAGTGGTGAGATAGAGTAAGCATGCCAGAGAGAACTCACTTTTATATCAAAGCCACTCCTAGAGTAACCTGTTAATTCATGAATGGACTTATCCATTCATGGGAACAGAGCCCTTATGATTCAGTCACCTCCCAGAAGTCCCTCTTCTTAACATTGCTACATTGGGAACCAAGTTGCTGGCACATAAAATTTGGAGAACACATTCAAACCATGGCAAAATCCTTCAGGTATTATTAAACTTTGAAGTTTGTATATCTCATAAAAGTGTTTTTGGTAATATCTTTTAAAGGACAATTACATGATTACTAAATAAAGAAAAAATTTTCAATGTAGTAGAGGTTTTTCTGTTTCCGGCTTTATCTAAAAAATTTGTTCTGAATAGAAACAGTTGACTATTTAAAATTTTGTCTTATGCATGTCCATCTTGTGTGTATACATTTCCATTAGCCAGGCATAGTGCTGCACACCTGTAATCCCAGGGACTTGAGAGGCTGAGGCTGAGGCAGGAGGATCTCAAGTTGAGGCTGGTCTCAATAATTTAGCAAGATCCTATTCAAAAAAAAAAAAAAAAATCTGTTATTGGTACTGAAAACTGGGAAGACTTGAGGTTTCAAAAACTTAGGATTTCATTTGCTAGATCTGAATCTGAAGGAGAAGTGCCCATAGAAAATTGAAACTTTAAATAAAAGACATTGGATTTTCACAAATCAAAATTGAGTTGATAAAAGGTTTGTAAAACTATAACTTACAATAGGGAAAGCCAGAAGGAAGAAAACTAAAAATTATAAAGGAAAAGTCTGATAAGTTTATATCTAATAGACCTGGTGATGTAAGCCAGACCTTTTTCAATACATTTTATAGATAACCGATGAAGAGACATATTATTTGTTCGTATATTTTTTTCACTGAGTTTATTCATATATGCATGTTTATATATTTTTTTAAATGTATTTTGGAGTTCTTTCATATCCAGGTAAAGATAACTCTTTCTTTTTTATTTCTGCATGGTATGCTAGTTTTCTGAATCCATGGTTTTACTTTTTGAGGTTTGAATTACCCATAGTAAGCCACAGTTCAAAAAGATTATAATAAAAAATTCAAGAAATAAACTAATAAATTTTAAATTTTACGACATTCTGCATAGTTTAATGAAATCTCATCAGCCATCTCTGTCCTACCTAGTATGTAAATGGTCCCTTTGTCCTTAGCATCCACACAGCATATACTACCCACCCACCCATTAGGCACTTAGATTGACTGTCATGGCATCACAGTGCTCGTGTTCAAGTAACTCTTATTTTACTTAATAATGACCCAAAAGTGCAAGAGTAGCAATGCTAGCAATTTGGATATGCCAGTGACAAACCATAAAATATGGCCTTTAAGTAAAAAGGTGAAAATTCTCAATAAGGAAAGACAAAAAAAAAAAAAATCATATGCTAAGGTTGCTAGATGTGCAGTACAATAAAATTTTGAGAGAAAGCCCACATTCACATAACTTACTAAAGCATATTTTTACGATTTTTTTGTTCTATCGTATTAGTAGTAATTGTTGTTAATCTCTTACTGTGCCTAATTTATAAATTAAATTTATTTAAATTTATTTAGGGGTGTGTGTGTGTGTGTGTGTGTGTGTGTGTGTATGAAAAAACTATACATAGGGTTTGGTACTATCTGCAGTTTCAGACATCCAGTGTGGGTGTCCTGGAATGTATTCTCTATGGGTGAGGGAGGAGTGCTGTTACATACCATGGCTTATTTATTTCATTTTCTTTTCATGTACATTTAGATTACTTTCAGTTTCTCCATTTTAAAGTGAAGCATGTCTTAGTATTAATTTTTCTTTGTATTTATAATGATTATTTCTCTTGATTTAAATTTTCAGAAAATATTGTCAGAAATTGTGCATATTTAAATTTTTGATATATACGAGTACTAGAGGTACTTTGCAAACATTAGGTCTACTATTTTACATCCTATCACATGTATGAGAGAGAGAGTACCATTTCCTATTATTCTTTCTCACAGTGGATGTGATTATCAATAACCAGCAAATGCTAGAAAACTAAACAAGAGAAATGTGTTACTTGCTTTCAGGTCAGTTCTGACAGTTGCTTGTGAACAGACTGAAGTTCTCCTGTTTGACCCTATATCTTCAAAGCACATAAAAACACTTTCTGAAGCTCACGAAGACTGTGTAAATAATATCAGGTCAGTATTATAGTGAACATATGAACTTGATAAGTGTGATTCAAAGTGTTGTTTTATAAGTTAGTGAAAATATGTCATGCCTTGTCCCTCAGTGATCCACGTGTGTAAATTGTGATTCTAATTCCTTATAAAGTTTATTCCTTTAATTATAAAATTTACTATTATTTATTTTGGATTGGAATTTTTCTGAAATATACTGTTCACTTCCATGGTGGTTTTTGTTGTTGTTGTTGTTGTTGTTTCTTTTCTCTTTGTATATCAAGACCATCATTATGAACCTCGCCATGTATTATGCTAGTCCTGTAATGCCTTTTGTGCTAATAATCTGTGTAGAATTATGGCAATCCTGTTGGTTAACATTTCTCACCACACCACTACCCCTTAAGTCCAGATGAGGAAGAAAGACATGCATAGAGAATTTCTTTGTAGCATTGTTGAAGCTCCTTATATTCTCATTAATGTGGGAAGTAAATTACAATTGAATGGTTTGGTGGATTAATATGCAGTCATCAATGGTTGTAGAGACTACATAGCAACATAGTCAAATGGTTGGGATGATATAGAATAAAATAATGATAAAATTGTGCAAATATGAAATAAAGCAGAAGAAAAAGATTAAAAAGAAATGCTTTAAAGTGCTAACAGTAGTTTAGTTGGAATGGATGGATTATCTTTAATTTTATAAACTATATGAAATGAGATTGTGTTACTTTTATGATTATTTAAATATTCTATAAATGAAAAAATTGAGGAAATTACTTCTAGTCAAGGTAACATACTGAGTTTTGATATAACCGCTTTGCTCCAAACACAATAGAACAGTAAATTAAAATTAAATAGCACAAAAAATATAGCCAGGTTCTGAAATAATATAAACATTTTTGTGGGCCAGGAATGGAGCACAGATAAACTTTGAGCTGGTCTGAAACCATAGGCCTAATGGGTTTCATTCTAGCATTGATATCTAATGGTTTTGTTGCATTCAGGTAAAAGAATTAAAAATGCTAGTTTTTTGTGAGGCAGGAACCAGAGTCAGAATTAGTACATGAATCCAAGGGTTTAGTTGGAATCTTTGTCTCATTGGTGAAAGTCTGAAAAAAAGGCAAAAGTTCTTTACTAGTTGGTGCTATAGGTTTTAGCTGATAAATACTCAGCCTCATCAACAAGAATTGAATAAAGCCGCTTATCCTATCAGTGACTGAATGTTACGTGTGATATTTCCAATATCTTGAAACTGAAGCCCTGAAATGTCATTATAAACCCTGGCTGTAGACATGGACCCCAAATGGCCAAGTGTAGACACTCTTAAAAACATTAAATAGGGAGACAGAAAAAAGTTAAAAACTTTTCCTACTCTGGCCTATAACCAAAACTCCAAAATTCATGGAGACATCTAAAATTAATATTATAACAGAATCAACCACCAGAACAGGCATTGTCTCTGGATGAAATTAATTTATGGAGTAGTCCAACAAAGTCTTTATTTTAAAAAATAAATTATTTATTTTTTCTTTGACTAGGTAATACATGCACGTGGTACAAAATTCAAAGGTACAAAAGGGTAAACAGTGAAAAGTAAGTCTATTTCCACCTCTGTCGCCTAGCCACCCAGTTTCCCTCCCCAGAGGCAACCACTATTACCAATTTCTTGCTCTTCTTTCTAAGATAGTTTATGCATGTACAACCATATAAATATATACGTACATATATTTTATATAAATGGTAGCATTCTACATTATTATATGCCTTGTCTTTTTCACTGAATATAGAGATCATTCCATATTAGTATCCGTGGGATGATCTTATTCTTTTTAACAGCTGCATGGTATTCCATTGATTGGGAGAAACTTTGAAACTTTTTTTTAGGATGCTCTCAAAGAGAATTCAAAGTTATAAAACAAACAGCTTAAACAAGAACACATCGATGTAGTAAAGAACCAGCCAGAATACTTGGAAATTTAAAATGTAGTTGGTATATTAAAAACTCAAAAAGAGGGAGAGGGGCTGAGAGTGTAGCTAATGGTACAGCACTTGCGTAACATACACAAAGCCCTCGATTTGATTCCTACCATTGAGTAGCAAGTGTATATTTAGAGCTGGCTCAGTTGTAGGGTTGGAAGCCCGATTGTAGGGTTGTATAGCTCAGAGAAAAGAGAACATGCTTAGCGTATGTGAGACCCTGGGTTTAATCCTTAGCACCAAAATTAAAAATAAAAAACTCAGAAGCCAGGAGTGTTGGCACAGAACTGTAATCCCAGCGGTTTGGGAGGCTAAGGAAGATTGTAAGTTTAAAGCCAGCCTCAGCAAAAATGAGGTGCTAAGCAGCTCAGTGAGACCCTGTCCCTAAGTAAAATACAAAATAGGGCTGGGGATATGGCTCAGTGGTTGAGTGCTCCTGAGTTCAAACCCTGGTACCCCCCAAAAAAACCTCAGTAGATGAGATAGACTTTACCCTTTATATGATAGATGAATTAATTAATGAGTTAGAAAATAGTACTAAAAATTTCAGGCACACACGAAAGAAAAAAACTTTTTAAAATGTAAGCAGTTAAAAGACAGCATTAATTGAGAGACTCCAATGTATAGGAAGGATTGCAAAAAAAAGTTTTTCTCAAGGATTGGTGGAAAATTAATTTTATAATGGCATAAAATTTTTAGTATTGGAGAGGGACCAGACTTCTCAAATCAAAAGTTAGCTTTAGGGCCCCTATCGGTGGCGCATGCTATCATTCCAGCGGCTCTGGAGGCTGACACAGGAGGATTGCAAGTTTAAAGCTAGCCCCAGCAATGGCACGGCACTAAGCAACTCAGTGAAACGCTGTCTGTAGATAAAAATACAAAATAGGGCTGGGGATGTCCTGCAGTGGTTGAGCACCTCTGAGTTCAATCCACAGTACCAAAAAAAGTTAGCTTTAGGGCTGAGGTTGTAGCTCAGTGGCAGAACACTTGCCTAGCACATGTGAGGCACTGAGTTCAATCCTTAGTACCACATAAAAATAAATAAGTAAAAAATAAAGGTATTTTTGACCATATACAACTAAGAAAAATATTTTAAAAAGAAAGTTAGCTTTAGACAAAGCAAATTAAATAAAGATAAATCTACATGTTGTGCTGAAACTTGGGAATATCAAAGATCAAGGGAAAAATTTAAAAGCCACTTAGATTAGAAGCCTGATTAAATAAAGAAGCAAAATAATGTTCTGTACCACATTATATTCCAAGTAACTATTAATCCAGATGGAATAATTTTAATTAGGTTAAATGTTATTGTCAATAGCATAAAGAATATAATTTAGAGATTTTTGAGGAGTATATTTAAAACTAAAACTCAAAGCCAAGCATGGTTGAGCAGGCCTGTAGTACCAGCAAGGAGGGAGCCACTGTGGCAGGAGGATTGCTTGAACCCCAAAGATCAAGGCCAGCCTGAACCGCTAAGCAATACCCTATCTCAAAGAGGAATAAAACAAAAACAAAAAAACTGGGGCTGGGGATATAATTCAGTAGGAAGAGAGCTTTCCTAGTGTGTGCAAGGCTGTGAGTTTGATCTCCAGTACTGCAAAACAGTAACAATAATTAAAAAAAACCAAACCTCTGGATTTAGCAATATCCAATACAAATGTAATGTTTGCCACATGTAATTATCAATTTTATAGTAGTTATGTTAAAAAAAAGAGAGACAACATTAATCTTTAATAACATATAACTCAAAATGTCCAAAATATTATCCTTTTAACATGTAATCAAATATAAAAATTATTGAGATAGTTTACTTTCACTTTTTTCATCATGTGACTGACTAATGGCTACCAAATTGCATAGTATAGCTCTAGACAGTGAAAACAAATAGATTGAATATATGGGAGAGTTTTGTTCAGTGTGAAGATATAATATATTAAGACCTTTAACCATGTTTAGGAAGAAGATAGTAGTATTAAGTAATTTCAAATGCTTTAAAATTAATGCATAATTAAATATGTACAATAAAAAACCCTAAAGTGATGGAAATAAAAGTTATAACTTTAAAATAAGCTAAAGGTGGGGAGAGAATATTGAAAACTTGATCATTAGAAGATAGGAAAGCTATAAGAAGTTACAAAAAAAAATTAAAGCAAAGGAAAGAGGGAATAAATGGAAAACAAGTAGAAAGGGACCAGACATGGTGGTGCATGCCTATAATCCCAGCAACTCAGGAGGCTGAAGCAATGGGCCCTAAATGAGGCAGGAGGATCACAAGTTTGAGGCCAGCCTCAGCAACTTAGCAAGACCCTATTTCAAAATTTTAAAATTTAAAAAAATGGGCTGGAGAAGTGGCTTAGTGGTTAAGCACTTCTGGGTTCAATCCCCCATACCAGAAAGGAAAAAAAAAAAAAGAAAGGGTTCCAAAAATATGAATAGTTCACAGTAAATATAATGTGTTGATATTCTTTATTAAAAAACACATAGTCAACAATTTGAATAAAAAACAAAATCATTATATATTCATTTTAGAGATACCAAACTAACCAGAAGTAGATTATCACTATGAGACAGGTGAAACAACAAAGGCATTAATAAGGATAAAACAACAGTACATATAAAAGGAGAAATCTGCCAAAAAGATAAAATAATCATGAACATTTATGTACCGTAAACATAGCTTTTAAATGTACAGAGCAAAACCAATATTAAGAATTACAAGTTTACAGTCATAATGAGAATATTTTATTTTATTTTATTTTATTGCTGGTACTGGAATTGAGCCCAGGGGTGCTCTACCATGGTTTAACATCCCTAATCCTTTTTACTTTTATTTTGAGACAAGGTCTTGCTAAATTGTCATGGCTGTCCTGAACTTTTGATTTCCCTGTCTCAGCCTCACAAATTGCTGGGATTATAGGTGTGTGCCACTGTGCCAAACTATAGTGAAATATTTAAGTTGTTTTATTTTGGGGGGTGGGGGATTGAACCCTAGGGGCATTAACCATTGAGCTGTATCTCCATATCCCTTTTTTTTTTTTTTA